TTAACGTAGCATCTGAATATGTAATGATATACAGGGCGTTCTATTTTAAAAAATGGAATTTTGGTCTGTAGCACCTACACCAAACACCCTGTATATTTAAAAATTATATCAAAATATAGCTCTCATGAACTCCTAAAACTTTTGTATGAAACATTTTTGTGTATCTCCTTCAACAAACCAGATATTGCCTGTCACATAAAATGTGGGATACCCGGTATACTCTGGAGCAAGTAGTCATATGACAAACAATAAGGATTTTTTCAAGCATTTCAAAGATTCGCTGAGTGGAGTTGAATTAGCCGACTGTAGAAAAGTTCGTTCTTATGGTTTAGGAACTGGACAGTTAACTTGTATTCTGGATGACAATGAGAAAACAGAAATCACACTGAAGGACACCCTTTATGTACCCGAGCTCGGTGCAAGTTTACTTTCGGTCAAGAAATTAACACTTTTCAGATTCAAAGTCGAATTTGATAAGCAGCATTGTTTCATCAAATCAAATAATAAAGTTGTTGCTCAAGGAACGCTGGTTGGTAATTTATATAAACTAAATCAGTACAATTCAGCAATGACTGTATGGAAAGGCTGTAATGACGGCTGAATTTATTTATGACACAAAAGGTTTGGCCACCGTGAATCTACCATTATACGAGAAATTATAAATAAAAACATGGTGAATGAAATGAAAATCAAGAATTGTGGACGTTTATTGTCATGTGAAACTTGCATTAAAGGTAAACTGTCAAGAAAATCATTCAGAAATACGAAGTATCAGAAAAAACTTCAAGATTACGTCAGAATGGTCGAAAATAAATTCGGCAGAAAACCAAAAATCATCAGATCTGACAGAGGAGGCGAGTATATGAACACAGAAGATAGGAATTTCATGAAAAATGAAGGTATAGAAATGCAACTCACGGCGCCATATTCGAGTCACCAGAATGGTGTAGCTGAAAGAAAGAATAAATATTCAACAGAGATGGTCAGGTGCATGTTAATTGATGCTGATCTACCAAATACTTATTGGGGCGAAGCAACCATGACAGCAAATTTACTTGAAAATTTGGTTCTGACAAGGTCAACCAATAGGATCCCCTTTGAAGTATGGCACGGAAAGAAACCAAATGTAAATCACATTAAAACCTTTGGCAGAATTGTTTATGCACATATTCCTAAAGAAAATCGCCATGAATTAAGTGAAAAGGCAAAGAAATTCGTATTAGTTGGTT